GACCCCCCCCCCCCTCGTCCCCCCTCCCCACCCCGATCACCCCCCCTCCCCACTACCACTCCTCTTCCGAGTCCACACCTCCTCACCTCCGCATCTTCATAACTCGTGGAACAACAGCACCACACCACACTCCCCTCCCATATTCCTGCGCTTCAACTGTCAGGCCATGGCCGATGATGGCTCCATTATTGTCGTCCATGCCTCGGCTGGTGCTGCCTTGCTGGCAACGGCAGCCGAGGCCTTGAGCAGGAGCCAACAGCGGCCTGCGACCAGTGAGCCACCGCCGGGCGGCTCTGAGCCGGGTGGCTCGCAGCAGAGACGGACACCAACGTCGGCACGGCAGGTTGAGCCGTGGCGACCAGCTTCGAGATCGGCGTCGAGGTCGAGGTCGGCAGTTGGCCAACGGCCGCAGTCGCCGTTAAGTGCATCGCGGCTCGGCTCGGCTCGCAGCCGTGGCTTTGATCCGGTCTCGGCAGAAGCCCGCCGGCAGAAGCGGGAGCGGATGCATGCCCAGCGAATGGCGGCGTTTGATGAGGAGCTGGCGCGCGAGGCCCGAAAGCGCGAGCGCAAGAGTCACCTGCAGCGCGACGACGCTGTTGACCACGTTCAGTTGCTGGCTGAGGGCAACGCCCGGATTGGGCGCGATATCGACGCGTTGATTGAGGCCAAGGAGCGGCAGAAGCAACGCAAGCGCGAAATCATGCACAAAAAATGGACAGAAGATGTGTACGTCAAGATCCAGGCGCGCGTCTCGTCGCTCCTCGACTCGGAGCTGTACAACGAGTACGAGGCGCTCCGACGGCAGGAGGCCGACAAGTTTATCGCCTGTGCCCGCCCCGGCTCGCTGGCACACGCCTCAGTCTACGACGCAGACTATGATCCGCACGCTGTGCCATCGCTGGTCGTCCCCATTGGTGACCTCGTGGATCCGCTGTTGGAGCCTGTTCGCGAGATCGAGCGCGAGGCGTCGATGTCGCGGACCTCCCACTACTTTACCGGCGGCGACGGAGAGTGCGCGGATGACGAGACGAGCCCGGCGGCCGTGAGAGCGCGGAGCCGAACGCAGAGCCGAGCCGGGAGCACAGCGCGCAGCCGCGGCGGGGCCCGCCAAGGAGGGCGGGCGAGTGTGGCGCGGAACGCAATGGCGTCGCGGACCTCGACTCGTTCGGACGAGTGGAACCGCCTTTTGGTTTACGCACAGGAAGAGTCGCGCCTATACGGGAGCTCGCCGGCGTACGAGCCGACGCACGAGGTGCCGGGTGCTGACGGCTCGCCGCAGCGTGTGCTGCGGACGTCGATCCTGCAGCTGGGGTGACCAAGAGCGTGACAAGTGAGGAATTAACATGCAATTGGCTACTCCATGTCCATGGTGGCCATACCGTTGGCGCTCTGGCCCTCGGCAATCTCAGGGTGGTGAGCGCAGATCTCTTCAAAGAGAAGGTCGCGGAGGCGCTCCTTGTTGAGCTGCTCGCGCTCAAAGGCAAAGTCAAAGATGGCCTCGGCTGACGGCTCGTCGTCGGGATCGTGGAGTGCGGCGAGGTACGGATGGGCCAGCGCCTCCTCAACGGTCAGACGCTTGGCAGGGTTAAAGGTCAGCAGGCCCTGGAGCAGGTCAAGCGCCTCGGGCGAGGCGTCGGGGAACTGCTGTGCAAACGGAATAAGCTCGCGGTGCGGCAGCGACTTGACATACCGGCGCGCCTTGTCCGACTGGATAGCGGCAATGTCGTCCTCCGAAGGCGTGCCGAGCAGGTCGATGATCTTGGTAATCTGGTCGATGTAGTCACGGCCTGGAAGAAGCGGGCGGCGCTGCAGGAGCTCGGCAAAGATGCAGCCGACCGACCACAGGTCGACCGCCTTGGTGTACTGCTTCCACGAGAGCATGATCTCCGGTGCCCGGTACCACCGTGTCGCCACGTACTCGGTCATAAACCCGGCATGGTTCTCGTCAGGATCCGCCACTCGCGCAAGGCCAAAGTCGCAGATCTTGAGGTCACAGTTGGCGTTGACCAGCAGGTTCGATGGCTTCAGATCGCGGTGGAGGACGTGCGCAGAGTGGATGTACTTGAGTCCGCGGAGGATCTGGTACACAAAGTACTGCGCATGCTCCTCGGACAGCGGCTGGTTCGAGCCGATGATCTGGTGCAGGTCGGTGTCCATCAGCTCGGTCACCATGTACAGGTCCTCAAATGCCTCGCGCGACGGCGGCGGCATCAAATCGTACAGTGCAATGATGTTCTCGTGGTCAAAGTGCCGCAGAATCTTGACCTCGCGGAGCGTTCGCTTCGCGTCTGTCTCATGGTCGAACACCTTGCCCACCTTCTTGATCGCCACTTTGTTTCCGTCCGTCACGTCCTTGGCCGCGCACACAATGCCGTACGCTCCCTGCCCGATCGGCTTAATCAGCGCATAGTTGACCGAGATGTCGAAACGGCTTCCGCACACCATGAACGAGTTGGTCTCGCTCATCTGCTCCTCCAAGCACCAGCACAACGCACGCGCCATTTTCCGCACCGAGCACCGAGCACCCCGCACCCCACACACAAACAACCACACACACACATCGTTAGTCCTGCCGCCTGTGACAGATGCGGGGAATCGGAAACTTCAGCCGAACTTTTTCACGCACGGACACACACCGCCCCCCCCCCCCCCCCCCCTCCCTCTCCCCTTCCCCCCCCCCAATACAAACACCGCCGCATGCGCACAGACACCACCACCACCGCTACACTTAGCCGGCCCGTATAGACACCACCACTGCTACACTCAGCCTTCCTCGCACCACGCCCGTTCCCACCATACCTCCTATACTTGCCCGTCCCCCCCTCCATGCCCGCCTCTCGCACCTCCCCTGACATGACCCAGTCACCCCTTCCCCCCACCCTCACGCGCCCACCCTCACCCCCCGCACTACGCCCCTCCCTCCCCCCTCCCTCTCTCCCTCCCCCCCCCCCTCCGCACTCCCTGTTCCACTCCCTGCCTACTTAACATACCCTTTCTTGTTACCTTCTCCTCTTCTTCCAACAGCCAAGAGAGGTGTACAACCCCGCCAGGTTGACCACCGCCGCCGCCTACAACAAACAACCAAGCCCCATCCGAACTCGGCTCCCCCTCGCCTACCCGCCCGTTGCGTCGTCCGTCGCCCGCCGCCGGCTCCACCCGTCACCTGCCAACCGCCCGCCGGCCGCCGGCCAACTCTGCCACTGGCCGCTATTGTCCACCGACCACGGCTTCCCCTCCAACACTGACTACTGGCCACACACCCCACTACCGCCCCTACCCCCCACCAACCCCACTCCCGCATACACACATGTCAGGGTCTACCACTGCTACGGTGCCGCGACATGACTCGTCGGGAGAGCTGTCACCAGGCTCCCCGCCTGCCCTCCCACACATCGACCACCAACCGCCGTCGCCGCCTCGGTCGCCGCCGCCGCCGCTCGCCTTTGAGGCTACCTCGCAGCTGGCGCATGCCTTGGCGGCTGGGCCCGGAAAGCTAGCTGCTGCTACTCGCTCTGGTCGCTCACAGCCGGCCGCTACCTTTTCTCGCAAGCGGCGCAAGGCCTCCGCCCGCGCCACTGCCACCAACGCCGAGCTGACGCGGTCGGCCCGCAGCAGGTCAGCGCGCTCTGGCTCGGGTAGGCCTGCGCGGGCGTCGGGCCACGCCACGTCTTGGGCATACTCGGCGGCGACAGAGACGACCAAGCGCCGCCGAGCGGTCCAAGAGTCGGCCTCGCGCCGGGCCGCAGAAGACGCCGTCGATGATCCCAACTTCTTGGAGAAGGGCGAGGTCCGCGGCCTTCCGCACGTCGTCACTCCGGCCGAGCCCCATGGCTCGTCAGCATCGCTCCGCGTCGCCGCCATGCTCGAGGCCCGCGCCACCCGTCACCACGACTTGCTCCGCAAGCTCGATGCCGAACTCGATGCCAAGACCGCCGAGCTGACCGCCGACATGGACCGCCTGGCGCGGACGTTCAAGGCCGAGCTCGACGCCGACGACGCGCGCGTTGCCGCAGACCGCGACAAACTCTGCTCATCTGAGCTTGCCACCCTACCCAAAATCCAAGTCGAGCGGCTGGCTGAGACCTACCGCGCGCTCACTGCCAAGCGTCGGCACCAGGCTGCCATGACCACCACGGCCATGCGCGAGAGCCTCGCTCAGCACTCATCCGCGCTAGAGGCGTTGCTTGCCTCGTACGCTCCGCAGCTCATCGACATTGCCCATGTCCTGCCCAACGACGTCGAGCGGCTCTGCAAGGAGCGCGCTCACAAGCTCAATCTGCAAGCTGTCGCCTCGGAGCATGCGCTGCTCGCATTCGAGGCCCGGTTCGAGGCTTCCGAGCTGGCTGCCGCCCGCGAGCGCGACGCTCTTGTTGCTCAGCGCATGGACGAGTGGCACGCCCGCCGCGGCGAGCACGCCCGCGCTGCCTTTCACGCCGCTCTTGACGCCGACGCCATTGCAACCCCCACAGCTGCGCAAGCTCTTTGACGAGCTCATTGTCGATCAGGGCGAGTCGTATCGCGCTCTTGTCGAGGTCATCCACCGCATTATCAGCTTCCAGCCCCCCGCTCTGACCACCGCCGATGCTGACGCCTTTGCCCGTGACCTTGGCCGCGCGCTGGCCGCGTTGGCTGCCACCCACGCCACCCGCCTCGGCCAGGTCCTTGCCCTCGATGCCGCCATCCAGGCCGACGCCGACACCGCCGCCGCTCAGCTCGGTGACGAGCTGGCTATTGTTGCCGGTAGCTACTCGCCCGAGGTCGATGCCCAGGTTCGTGCAGTCGCCGAGCCGCGGCTTGCCCAGCGTGCTGGCCAGCGTGCCGGCCTTCTCGCCCTCCTTCATGCCGTCCTCCACGACGCCATGGCCGACCTTGCGCTCTCGGCCCACGGCCTGTTTCAGTACGTGGGCGCGGCCGTCGCGCTCTGGGACGGGCACGCTGCCGCCGTAGCTGCCGCCAAGGCTGCTGTCGAGCGGGACATTGACAGCTTGCACGACGCGCACGTCGCCAAGGTTGATGCCCTCGAAACCGCCCTCACAGACGTCATCGACCAGCTCCGCGTCGCCCAAACCACGACGATCTCATGGAGAAGCTGACGCTTGCACTGCAGGCACTCAACTCTCTCGAGACCCAGCACCGCGAGCTCACTGATGCTGTCGCCAAACGACTCGACGCCCACGCCTCGACCATCACTTTGGCATTGGAGACGTACAGCACTGGAGTGCGCGCCATGTTCTGCCTCGTCCCGCGTCGCGAGTACGAGGTCTGGCTCGCAGCTCGCGGCCTTGTTGCCTTTCCACATGCCCCCAAGGCGCTTTCGCGCACCCCAAGCACCCCGGCCACCAACAAGCGGGCGAGCGGGAGCAACAGCAGTGGCTCTGGGTCGGCGGCTGACAAGTCACTCGCATCGCTGCCCTCTGCCTTTTGCACTGTTGCGCCTGAACCAGCCGAGGCAGCCGAAGCGGAACAATTGACTGCTCTCCAACTGGCTCTCGTCGTCTCTGCGCCGCAATCGTCGCCGCTTCGGCCAATGCGCGACGCCCTTGTCAAGGCCCTGGCGTTGCCGGCGGAGCCATCTCCTGCGCCGCAGCCGTCCCCGTCACCAGCCCGCTCGAAGCGCCCAGACCGCAGCGAACGTGCTTCGTCGGGCTCTCACTCAACTGCTGCAGCGGCTGCCGCGAGCGTCAGGGCCTTGTTTGGCGACCTCCTCCAGCCGACCGAGCAGCCACTGGATTCGATGCTTGAAAAGCGCGGCGTGGCAGAGGATGTCCACGTCGTCACCACCAAGGCCGGTGACCAGTTTGTTGTCCTCCCGCCGAGGCACTTTGAAGTGTACACCACCGCGCTTCTCGTCGAGAGTGAGTCGATTGAGGCAAGCCCGGCGCGGACGAACCGGACACCTGTACGGGGCCGCCGCAGTGGGCCAGGCACACCGACAAGTGCGGGAAACAAGACCCGTGAGACAAGCGATGCCCGTGAGGGCTCCAAGTCGCGCGCGCGCAAGGGCAAGGCCACGCCATCGCGCGAGTCGGGCGCGTCGCCAAGCAGGACGTCCAAGGCCACGCCGTCGCGGTCTCGCCCGCGATCAGTGGCGTCGACCGCCGGTGATGACGACGCCAAGGCTGCTGCTGCTGCAGGCGAGGCTGAGGCCTCGCAGCGGAAAGCGGCCTGGGAGTGGCTCACAGCCTTTCTCGACCCACAGCTCTCGGCCCACATCGATTCAGAGATCTCAGCGCGGCTGGCGTCTGCCCCCGAGTGGATGGCGCATGCTCTTGAGACAGGTGCCGTTCCTCTCTCTGTCCTCATGCCTGTCGCGGCATCTAGCCCGCGTTCTGCGTCGGGCGCTCGCTCGGGGCGAGAAAGCGTCGCGTCGGACACGAGTGCATCCAACGGCGCCGAGGCCAAAGTCAACGAGAGAGCGCTAGTGGTGCGGCGCGGCCGGATGTTGGTTGACGCCGACGGCAAGCCTGTTGTTCATGAGCTCAAGTCGCCAACGCCAGTGGTGCGGTTCCTGCAAGAGCAGCTCCGGCGGGCGTTCATGACTCATCTCGGCGAGTGGCAGGCGGCCGAGTCCGCGGCAGTGGCCGAGTATGTAGAGAAGCGTGCGGCGAGGCATGCCGCGCAGCTTGACGAATTTCTCCGTTTCCACCGCCCGCGCAAGGATCGCATCGAGCTGGACGTTGCCCACGTCCGCGCTGTCGAGCTGCAGGCCAATAACGTGCGGCTCGAGCGGCATGTGGAGGGCATCCAGAAGCGTGCACTCGGTGACGATAGCCACATGTCGGATGCCGTTTCCGCCATGAAGGCCACCGCCGACGGCTTTGCAGCCTATGTCTCGGAGAAGCAGGAGGTGCTTGGCTCGGCATCGAGCACGGCTTCGCTCGAGTACTACCAGCGCGAGGTCCGCGGTCGCGCGGCGGCAGCGGTGGCTGCGCTCGAGACTACCGTCGCGCAGGCTGTGACCGGTTTGGCCAAGTCGCACGAGGCGGCTCTGATGGCCAACGTTCGTTTCAGCGACGCTGTCGGCTCGCTGGCTGGCGGCGGGGCATCAGCGGTCGGGCCATCGCTGGCGCTCGTGGCCTCGGCGTCGTCAGACGCTCTCGGGCGCAACAAGGCCAGCTACCACGCCGACGAGATCCGAGGCGTCCAGGCTAAGCTGGGCAAGCTCGAGGCGTGGCTCAAGACTCGCCACGCAGCCCAGGTTGAGGCACTTCACAAGGCGCGGACCGAGCAAGAGAGTCGCCTGACCGCAAGTGTTGCTAGCTTTGATGAGGCGCTCAAGGACCATGTCCGCGACACCACATTCCTCGCGCAGCTCTCGCTCATGCTCGGCTCGGTCAACATGGCCATCCGTGCAGAACAGGCCGGCTCGGACAAGGCGGACGAGGACATCCGGGTGGCCCTCGGTAAGCTGCATGCAATCATCAAGGTCGATGCCTCGACCGATGCGGCCAAGTCGTTCAAGGCCGGCACGCCACCACTGGCCACCCGCCTCTTGCTTCAGCTCCACAAGGTGCTCTCTCTGCTTCATGCGCGCGGCAAGTACCTCGATGCTCTTGTCACCGACGTGCTCCTTCCGCCAGGCCTTACCACCGACGCCGTCCGGGCGGCGCTCGGCGCAAAGTCGATGGTGGCTGTCATGCAGGAGCCGTCGCCTGACGCTGAGGACCACATCCTCGCCATCCCACCGTGGCTGCAACCAGAGCCGTCGGCTTCCGACGAGGTTGATGGCACACCCCCGGCGTCCCTGCCCGAGCCGATGTCGTCGGCGCGGTCTTCAGTCAGCGGTGCCTCCCCGCGAGTCCGCAGGCCGGCTCGCGAGGCGACTGGGAGCAACACAAGCGGAACGGCACGGGCACGGCAAGGTCGGCGCGGTGCTCGCATCGGAAGTGCTCGCTCGGGCGCGGGTCGACGCGGCACGGGGCAAGCCGGCGAGCCAGCTGACGAGCGCAGCAGTGCCGGTGGAAGCGGAAACGGAGCAACCGGGAACGCTGGAAGTGGTGACGAGACCGGGGACGAGAAAAAGAAGCCGTTGCGGCCGGGCGACATGAGCTTTGACATGGCTGGGCTCGACAACAAGTTCCGGGACCGCATCGATGCGTACATTGCGCAAGGGCGCGAGCGGTTATTTGCTCTTGTAGCCGACTACTACGCCACGCTCGACGCAACGACGCTGACGCGCGAAGCGTCGATTGCAGCTACCGAGGAGGAGGCGCAGCAAGAGGTCAATGCCGAGCTGGGCAAGCTGGTGGCGAGCTCCGAAACGTTCCGGCAAGCATCACTCGACGGCTTCCGCACGGTGGCGTCGTCGGTACAGACCCTGTTCTCGGCCATTCCGCCGATGGTCTATGCGGACATTCGGGCGCACATGCTGCTCTCGGCCGAGGCTGCCAAAGAGGGCACCGCCGCCGGGCTCGCTGTCGAGCTGCGCGAATCGGAGGAGGCGCAGCGCGAGCATGCCAACGCTCTGCGCCCGGTCCTCGCGCATCCCAACCGGCGTAGTGAGCTTGCTGCGCTTCACGCCGCCGAGCACAAGCGATGTAAGGAGCTGATGGCAGCCATTGCTGCCGCCGGCATCGAGGCGCAGCGAAGAGAGGTCAAGATCGGCCTGCGGTTTGTCGGGGAGAGCAATAACGCGACGCTCATTTTGCTCGCGCTCGCCGACGCCCTCATTACCGACGAGGACTGCGTCCGCGCACCTGTGCTGGCGCAGATGCGGACAAACCACCGCTCGCTCCGCGAGCTGATGGTGGCGCGGCAGAAGCGCGAACGGCGCAAGCTGACACGGCGGCCGTCGCGCCGCAAGTCGCACGCTGAAGCGGAGACTAGTGGCGCATCGGCTGGTAGTGGGCGGGCTGGCGGGATCTCGAGTGGGAGCTCGCGGCGCTCGCGGAGGAGTGGAGGTCATCCAAGCTCGAACGTGACTGCGACCGAGGCTGAACGATCGACTACATCAGGCCCGGACAGTCTGCGGATGCGATCGACGACTGAAGTCCCTCTGCTCAGCACTAGTGTCCTTGACTTTGACGGCCTTGTGGCGAGCGGCATCGTCCGTGGCGAAAAACCTGCCACTCAGGCTGCATCCGATGTCCTTTCTACATCGCAGCCTGGAAGCAGGAGTCCAGGAGGACAGCTGGCAGGTGAGCGGCACTTCTCGCTCTCACTCGGAACCGTCGAGTCGCGATCCAGCGCGCTCAGAGTCTCGCCGCGGGCGGCAGCGCTGCGGTCGGGCTCGCGGTCGAGCTCGCGCGCCGGCTCGCGTGCCGGCTCGCGGCTAGAGGGCCGGCGGTCGAGCTCGCGGATGGCGTCGCGACAGGGTAAGCGCTCCGGGCGGCGCGGGCTCGGTACACCAGGCGGGGCGTCGCCGGGTGGCGGGCTGCCAGGCGGCGGCGACGAAGCAGTTGGTGGAGCAGGCGAGGCCGAACCCGTGCGAACGGCAGAAGAGGCTGTGGCGCGTGCGCTGTCGACGGCGGACGACCCGTTTGACATCGCAATGGTGGAGAAGATGTACGCGCGAGCGGTTGAGTCGGAGTTTGTGTCTGCGGTGGTAGGCGAGCGCAACTCTGTGAGTGCGCAGTTTGTGGGCGACTTTCGCGAGGTGCTCAAGCACGTCCACGAGTCGAACGATGAGCTCAAGGCAACGCTTGTCAAGTGGCAGGCGCACTGGGAGGCCAAAGTGGCGCAGCTGCAGGGCTTTCGGCCGTAGCGAGAGACGAGGGGTGTTATGTCTGGCTGGCGGCGAGGGCAGCTTCTGTGGCAGCAGTGTTCTTCTTGGCCTCCCACATGGCGTGGTTGGCATCGATGTGCGAGCAGGCCGAGGCCATGTCGGGGAAGAGGGCAGTGACGGCCTCGTACAGCGGGCGGACAAAGATCTCGATAAACCCGACCTGGGCCTTGTAGACCTCGAGGACCGGAGCAGACCGATCCATAAAGGTGGAGACGCGCATGCCTGCAGCGCGCTCGCGATCGCCCTGGCGGAACGACTCTTCCATGACGCGGCCGGACCAGTTGGAGGCGATGTGCCAAGGCTTGGCTGGATTGGAGATGTCGCAGCACTTGACGACGAGGCGGAGAACAAGAGCTTTGGAGTCGTTCGAGTCGAACGAACCCGCGGCGGCCTCGGCCTTGAGTCCGGTGAGCTGGGCGTTGAACTTGGAGAGGAGCTCAAAGTGCTTCGCCATGTCGGTGGCGAGGATCATGGTGGTGACGACCGAACGGACCGAGGTTCGTTGCTTGGACGTAAGGTTTGAGAGGATGTTGAGTGCCGGATCCTGGAGCAATGTGTATGCCGCGGCGCAGTGGTGCGACTCGAGAACCGAAGAGTCATTGTAGCGGATGGCCAGTGGTGAGGAGACAGCAATGAGGAAGTTGTTGTTGACGCCCGGGTGGCCAAAGTCGTGTACAAGGCAGGCAATGATGCCAGCAAAGATCTCCAGCGAGGAGAGGAAGTAGCCGACACCGCCGAGGGTGGTCCACACGTGAAAGGCGTGCGCGACGTCGGCAGCGTGGATGGCGTTGTGGTAGGGATTGCTGGCGACGTAGCCGGACTCGATGGTGGAGAGGAAGCGGAGCGCCTTGCGCTCGTCGATGCGAAAGTTGGCAAACGCATCGTTCTTGTGAAGGAGAAGCATGCCCATAAAGACCACCGGATGACCCGAGGCGAGCTCGGTAAACTCAAAGATGTCCATGGTCCACGAGTCGAGCATGTCCATGAGCTTAGGCATGGAGGCGGCGACCGGATCGAGGTCGTCGGCAAACGACACAAGAACTTGCCACAGCTCGGGCGCGGTGAGCGGGAGGCCCGACTCGGTGGCGTTTGACGGCGTCTCGGAGCCGTCGGTCGAGTAGCCATTGGCGGCGTGGCCGGTCATCTCGGTCGTCTCCATGACCCACGACGAGACAGCGGTGTCCGCACCGCCACGGATCTCGGGCTGGTACAGTGCACCGGCAGAGAGAATAGCGAGCGCTTCGTTGACCTGGCGAACAATGGCAAGGCGGTGGGCAAGCTCAGCCCGCGAAGCCCGGAGGTGGTCGGCTCCGATCGGCCGGGCCTCGTCGCGAACCTTGGTGAGGAGAGCAAGGACGCGCGAGATAGGGGTGTCGACTTGGACGGCGTGTGAAGTGAACGAGTCAAGCTCAGCACGGAGCATGGAGACCTCTTCTTGGTGCGAGGCGACCGATCGCGCAAAGAGGTGGACAAAGCGGGTTGTGGCGAGGAGAGCCAAGCCGAGGAGCGCCACGCAGACGCAAAAGGTAAACTCTTCACCCCAATGGATGGGCGGCGAGAGGACGCGGCCAGTGGTAAAAGACGTGCCGTGGACGTCGGTATAGAACTGCGACGAGAAGAGGACAGCCGAGAGGTAGACAATGAGGCAGCACAGAGTGTAGCCGCCGACCCGCCCAACGCCCGACGACCGCTCGTCGCCGACCTGCATAAAGATGATCGACGAGGCTGAAAAGAAGATGACAGCGCAAACCATGTGCGCCTCGCGGAAGATAACGACAATGATGCCCAGCGGCAGCAAGTGCAGGTACTGATGGTACGAGTTATCGGGGAAGAGGGTGGCGATAACATTGCTGAGCTCGAGGACAACGAGCGAGACAAAGGCGAGCGGGACGAGGTTAAAGAACCGGATGTGTGGCGCCCAGCCAAAGATCTCGGCTGAGAGCAGGATGGCCACAAAGAGAACGTAGAGAACGGTCATCTGGAGCGTGATGTTGGCCTTGACCTCGCCGCCGGGGCTCCAGGAGAACAGCGTGACCATCTCCTGCAGCTTTTGCACCATGGTTGGCGGAGGCGGTGGCAGCGGCGGCGGGGCTCCGATGACGTCGACATCGCTCAGAACAGCGGCTTTTCCCTGTACTGAAGACTCGAGAGACCTTGTTGCAGCGCCTTCTCCGACAGCCGATGGGCCAGCTGGTGGCGCGGGCATACGGGCCATGGCCGGCGGCTCGTTGGCGTCGAGCAGCGGCGGTGGGCTTCGGCTTGCATACGCCGCACTTGGAGACTGTCTCCTCCGGATCGAGACAGGTGAGTATATGGCAGAGTGCTGTCCATGTGGCAGACCAGGTGATGACTGCCGGAAGCCGGCTGATGATGCGCAGCCTGGCGATGGTGATGATGATGCGCCCGGGCCACCCGTTTCGGCAGCCGCTCCGGCTTGCGGACTGGCATACAACGTGTCCAGGCTCTCCAGCTCGACCACCACAGAGAACGGAGACGGGCGAGGTGCCTTTGCCATGCCCGGTGGGGTGAGGAGAGAGGAGGGGGGGAGGAGGGAGGGAGGGAGGGATGGGGTGAGGTGTGGCTGTGTCCTGGTGCACGCGCAAAGCCCGCCCCCGTGGGTAGGTTTGGTTGGTTCGGGTGGGCGGATGGGGGGTGGGGTGGGGGGTCAGATAAAAATTTTGAGGATTGGGAGGGGGGGAGAGGGGAAGTGGCTCGCTTACTTGCTTGGCCGAGGCGTTGGGAGCGAGAGGCCAGAATATGGACCAATGGACCACACTCGACGTGTACGCACGCACGCACACCAATAGACGCACTACACGGGTACACGCAGCTCTTCTCTCTTACGTCTTGCCTTGCTCAAGTCGTGGTCAGTATGGCTGCTACAGTCGAAGCATGGCGACGCGCAGCGGTGGCCGGTGCGACTGTCTCGGGCACAGGCGTAGTGATCCTGACGGTGGCGCTGCTCTCGCTAGCTCTGCGCAAGTCGACATCGGTGGTCACGGCGGTCGGTGCGTTCTATGCACTGCTGATTGCAGGTTGTACGTGCCGAAGCGCATGGTGGGCGCTGCTACTGCGCGGCATGGCGCGGCTCGATCGCGACGCGATGCTGGGCGAGGGAGGCGGGCCGGAGCGCTTCGCCCAAGTAGTGGCGGAAGGATGCATCTCTACGCGCAATACGATGCTGGCCACGGCACTGATGCCGGGCTTTATGTACAATGCGGCGGGATTTATGCTGATGGCGGTTCTTGCAACGGTCCACGAGCAGACCATCGTTCGGGCCAAGCGGGTGGTGGTCCACATTCGGACCCGGCTGTGGTGGGCACTCGGCGTTGGCCATGTTGTGCTGGCAGGGGTGATGGGGCTGGGACTGGCCATTGCACTCCAGGGTAAGGCAGGGATGTGGGGCATCTCCCGCCGGTCGGCGATCGAAGCTGTGCTTGTCGTTGATGCTGGCGTCTCGTTTGGTGGTGCGGTGATCTTCCCCCTGGTAGCGTGGAGGCTGGCCGCGCTGGTGCGATCAGTAACGTCGCTCACTCGGCGGCGGTTGACTGCGCCGAGGACCAAGGTCATTCTGGTGGGCCTCGGGATCAGCGTCATGTACGCCACGCGAGCCGCGGTCTCACTCGTCACCGGCCTCCGCTACACGGCGCAGCTGCCGCCCGCAGCGCTACCGGCGACGTGTCCGCCAGCGGATGGCAAGTCGCCGATGCCGTACTCGCTGCCGGCCACGCTGTGCTACATCCTGGGGCTCGAGGCGCTGATGCCGGTGCTTCTGTTTGGCATGGTTGTCCTCGGACGATCGCCACCGCCTCCGCCTGTCCAGGGCAGCGTCGACGAGTCGCTCCTTGCGGCCGGGCGAGTCATCTACTACAACCGAGTTGCACCGCCTCGTTCCCAGTACGACCGTAAAGACCAATCTTTGACCGATATTCCTAGCTGTATGTTGATGTTGATGCAGTATGTCACGTGGGTGATACTCGCCAAGCGCATCAAGAGTGAGCGGGTGAGCGCATTGAAAAAATAAAACGATGGGTTCTGCTACGTTTGGACCGGAGACTGCGGCCATTCCCGGAACAAGCAACGAACAAAGGCGACCAGCTGGCAGGAGCAGGAGAGCGAGGACACCACACTCACACGCACTGAGAACCATGGGAAAGAAGGACATCAGCAAAGCTGCCAAGGTATGTCCTTCGTACTGTTTGTGGCGTGTGGGAGGGGGGGGGGCTAGCTGGAGGAGGAGCGGGCTAGCTGGAGAAGCGGGCTAGCTGGGGCAGCGGCTGGAAGCTGGCAGCTGGGGGGGGGGGGGGGGGGGGGGAGGTGGACTGGCTTGTACTCATTGTTGATGTTGTGGTGGATTGGCTTGGGCTGACGCGATCTTTGCGATGGGTGACTACGGCGGTGGGGGCGGCTGCCGGCTGGTTGTGGGACGATAGCTACTCTCTGAGGAGGATCTCGGGCTTTTGTTTTCGGCAGGCGTCCTGTTTCTGGCCGACGCCAACAGCGATGGCTTCATCGAGCTGTCCGAGCTGGAGCAGTGGGTTTCGGAGACGCTGGGGCTAGACGAGGAGGATGCAGCGGACATGATGCTCGAGTTTGATGAGGATGAGTCCGGTAAGCTCGACATGGGCGAGTTCCTCAACCTCATCCAGTCGCGGGAGGAGTTTGAGGACGCGCTGGTGCCCAAGGGCGCGTCGCTCGATGAGAAGAAGATGAAGGCGATCATCTGGGCGTACGAGCAGTTTGACGCCGACGACTCGGGCGCGCTCGACGAGGCCGAGTTTCTTGACGCCATGCGCGCGCTGATGCCGTCGAAGAAGCTCAAGAAGGCGGTGACCGAGGAAGAGCTGCACGAGCTTTTCGAGGACATGCTCGACTCGGACGACGTGACCCTTGACTTTCCGGCCTTTATCCTCGCCTACACCTACTTCCGGTTCGGGCAGGAGGCAGCGGGCAACCTGGTCTCGTCGACCAACTACCACAGTGTGATGGGCGGTGGGTACTCGGCATCATACAGCGAGTCGTACTCTAATGATGCGTCGTCCGAGTCGTCCAAGGTGGCGTTCAAGGACACTGTTTCGGACAAGGACAAGAAAAAGGCGGCGAAGAAGCTCAAGGTCGACGACCTTGCGATTCTTGCCCAATTTGCGTCGTTCTTTACCGCAGACACCGACGAGGACGGCCGCATCTCGCAGGACGAGCTGTTTGTGCACCTCGAGTCGGCGTTTGACATTGACAACGACCGGGCCGAGGAGATCTTTGACGAGTTTGACCTCGACAACGATGGCTACCTCTCGCTGGGTGAGTTTGTCGAGTGGTTTGTGACCTCAGATGTGGCGTCCGACTTTCCCAAGTCGGCCAAGAAGCTTGACACCGCCAAGGCCGCCCTCATCCTCGACGTACTTGCCGTCTTTGACAACAACGACGACAAGGTCATCGATTTTGACGAGTTTAAGGAGGCGCTCTCCCTGTTCTTTACCCCCAAGGAGATGAAGAAGATCGATCTCAACTCGGCTGAGGACGTTGAGTCGATGTTTGAGTTCTCGTGCTGGATGTTTGACGCCGACGCTCTTCGCTTTGTCGACTTTCTTCTCATCCTCATCGGCCTTCGGTTCTCGGCCTCGGATGCTGAGGACGTTGCTGAGTCGATTGCACCTGCTGACGCCAAGAAGGGTAAGAGCAAGGGCAAGGGCAAGAAGGGCGGCAAGAAGAAGGGTGGCAAGAAGGGCGGCAAGAAGGCCGCTGCTGTTGCCTCGGCCGGGTCGGAGGACTCGGCAGACGCCAAGAAGGGCAAGAAGGGCGGCAAGAAGAAGGGTGGCAAGAAGGGCGGCAAGAAGGCCGCTGCTGTTGCCTCGGCCAGGTCGGAGGACTCGGCAGACGCCAAGAAGGGCAAGAAGGGCGGCAAGAAGGGCGGCAAGAAGGTCGCTGCTGTTGCCTCGGCCGGGTCGGAGGACTCGGCAGACGCCAAGAAGGGCAAGAAGGGCGGCAAGAAGAAGGGTGGCAAGAAGGGCGGCAAGAAGGCCGCTGCTGTTGCCTCGGCCAGGTCGGAGGACTCGGCAGACGCCAAGAAGGGCAAGAAGGGCAAGAAGGGCAAGAAGGGCGGCAAGAAGGTCGCTGCTGTTGCCTCGGCCGGGTCGGAGGACTCGGCAGACGCCAAGAAGGGCAAGAAGGGCAAGAAGGGCAAGAAGGGCGGCAAGAAGGGTGGCAAGGGCAAGAAGGCAAGTGTCTCGTCGGATGCGTCCGATGACGACTCGTTGGCTGCGTCGGCCGCCCCGTTTGCTGACGTCAAGGCCAGCATCGACTCGGTGTCGGAGAAGAAGAAGAAGAAGGCTGGCAAGACGCTGCGCGAAACCGACTTTGAGCTCATCCTCCTCGCCGCCGTGTTCTTTGACACCGACGCCGACGGCGATGGCCGCGTCTCGCGCGAAGAGCTGCTTGAGTTCATCGACGAGAACGACGTTGTTGACGACGACGACGTCGACGTCAACGAGCTATTCGACAAGTTTGACGTCGACGCTGACGGCACGCTCGACATGCCCGAGTTCATCACCTTTATGGCCGGCCTTGATGACGAGGAGGACCTGGATGTGACGGGCCTGGCTCTGCCCAAGGCCGCACTCTTCCTCGACGCCTTTGACGCCTTTGACGCCAACGAAGACGGCATCCTCGACGAGGACGAGGTTAAGGAGATCGCCAAGTACTTCCTCACCAAGAAGGAGATCAAGCAGATGGACAAGGGCGGCCTTGAAGAGTTTGCCGAGATGTTTGACGTGGATGAGAATGGCCTCACCGTCGCAGACTTCTTTGCCCTTGTCGCCGGTCTCCGCTTTGGCTGGGACTTTGTCATGGGCGCCTATGGCATGGACTCCAACTCGGGCTCTGACTCGGGTTCCGACTCGGGCTCCGGCTCAGCCTCGTACTCGGCCTCGTACTCGGCCTAAGGCTCATTCTGACCCAGTCGCACGATGATGCAGTCGTGCATGAGCGAGTTTACCCTCCCTATTTTCTATCCCCCTTCCCTCTCTCTCTTTCTCTTTCTTTCTCCCTAGTTCTCTTTATCAAACAGAACCAACCCTCTGCCAGCCAAGCCCCTCCCCCGTTCCATCACCATCACCAGCCCCTCCCCTCTCCATCCTGCTTCACTGTGCTGGTCAGCATACTGGCGTTTGTTCCTGACCGACCACGCCTCACCCACCCACCCACACACCCACACACACACACACACACACACACACCTCACCCGCCCTGCATTACATACTCTATTGGCGGGGGCGGGTATGACCTCGGTGGAAGGGCCGGGGCGGGGGTACAGGTCGGAGGCGGTGGCGGACGACAACAATGTCCATGACTGTGAGAGACATGCCAACAAGGACGGCAAGCAAGACGACGATGCGGTGGTAGTGCTCGAGGTGGTGGCCGATGGCGTGGGAGAGGAGGCAGAGCTGGCAGCGCTGGATGGGAAAGGCGAGGAGGGAAAGGCTGGCGAACAACGCGGATGCAGATGCCGGCGGCGTGGCTTGGAGCGGCGACGGCGGCGATGGCGGACGCGTCGCGGCGTAGGGGAGCGCATGCTGCGGCGAGTGGCACGGGCCGAGTGGCGGAGGGCCGGCGGTGGTGGAAGTGGCGATATACTTGACTCGATAGGAGCCATGGCAGCATCCAAATCGGAGACGAACCAGGTGTTGCTGAAGGTGCTGACTAAGCGGATCGATGCCTTGGAGAGCACCATTGCGAAGCAGGCGAGCACCATTGCGAAGCAGGCGAGCACCATTGCGAAGCAGGCGACGGAGGCGACGGAGGCTGCGGACATCATTCGCGAGCAGGAAAGCACCATTCACAAGCTGACGGTGCAACTTGCTAGCGCGGGCATCATGCCCATGACGATGGCCACCAACGACACCAGCAGCTCGCGGAAGCGGACGACCTCGGAGGGCAGCAGCACGAGCTCTGAAGGGAGTAGTGCGATCCCTATGTCCGAGAGCTCGTCTGGTGCGTGTGACCGTGAGTAGGGCATGGCTGGCTTGATCAACCTGTGTGATCGTTTTCCGACGCACGCGCGCTCGGAAGGAGAGGCAGACTGCGGCACCGAAAGAGCACATCGGAGAGGGATAGACACGAGGTGGGGGACAGTGCCATGTGGATAGCACCATGCCTCGCCAGGCACTGTTGTACCGTACATGCATGGAGTTGCACAAGAAGGTCACGCCTCCCTCCGCGTTGCGCCAACACCAGGAAAAGGTCGCGAAATGCTGTTTTGGTGGCTCAAGCCACAGCCTCCCCATCGAACACCATCACCAGCCCCTCCCCCATCGAACACCACCACCAGCCCCTCCCCCATCGAACACCACCACCAGCCCCTCCCCCATCCATCGCCACCACCAGCCCCTTCCATCACCAGCCCCATCCCCTCTCCATCCTGTTTCACTGTGCTGGTCAGCATACTGGCGTTTGTTCCTGACCGACTATGCGTCACCCACACCCACCCACACACACACACACACACACACCACCCCTCTCCGCATTACATACTCTATTGGCGGGGGCGGGTATGACCTCGGTGGAAGGGCCGGGGCGGGGGTACAGGTCGGAGGCGGTGGCGGACGACAACAATGTCCATGGCTGTGAGAGACAGGCCAACAAGGACGGCAAGCAAGACGACGATGCGGTGGTAGTGCTCGAGGTGGTGGCCGATGGCGTGGGAGAGGAGGCAGAGCTGGCAGCGCTGGATGGGAAAGGCGAGGAGGGAAAGGCTGGCGAACAACGCGGATGCAGATGCCGGCGGCGTGGCTTGGAGCGGCGACGGCGGCGATGGCGGACGCGTCGCGGCGTAGGGGAGCGCATGCTGCGGCGAGTGGCACGGGCCGAGTGGCGGAGGGCCGGCGGTGGTGGAAGTGGCGATATACTTGACTCGATAGGAGCCATGGCAGCATCCAAATCGGAGACGAACCAGGTGTTGCTGAACGAGATGGCGAAGCAGATCAAGGACTTGGAGAGCACCATTGCGAAGCAGGCGAGCACCATTGCGAAGCAGGCGACGGAGGCTGCGGACACCATTCGCGAGCTGAAGAGTACCATTCGCGAGCTGAGGATGCAACTTGCTAGCGCGGGCATCATGCCCATGACGATGGCCACCAACGACACCAGCAGCTCGCGGAAGCAGACGACCTCGGAGGGCAGCAGCACGAGCTCTGAAGGGAGTAGTGCGATCCCTATGTCCGAGAGCTCGTCTGGTGCGTGTGACCGTGAGTAGGGCATGGCTGGCTTGATCAACCTGTGTGATCGTTTTCCGACGCACGCGCGCTCGGATAGAGAGGCAGACTGCGGCACCGAAAGAGCACATCGGAGAGGGATAGACACGAGGTGGGGGGATAGTGCCATGTGGATAGCACCATGCCTCGCCAGGCACTGTTGTACCGTACACGCATGGAGGTGCACAAGAAGGTCGCGTTTTTTTTGTGTTGCGTTAAATATTAGGAAAAGGTTGTGAAATGTAGTTTTGGTGGCTCAAGCCAGTCCTCCTCATCAAACACCATCACAGCAACTTCACCACCGTCTGCCGTGATCTTTCCCCAACGGCAGCTGTCGTGTGCCCCACTCCGTCCCACAGCGCTACTGAGCTACTGAGCCAGGCACCTGCACCCACCACACCACACTGCTCGCACCACTCCACCAGCAAGGTAGACCAGGCGGGACCAGCCATGCACTCGGTCACGTCCCTCGCGCCGGGCGAATGGACCCCCACCCCCCGGCTTGGCCCGCACTCGTCACCGCTGCTGGCCCGCCCCGCCACACGGTCAGCCCGCCAGGCCCAGCGATTTCCAGCATACGCCCGAGCGCCTGTCGAGCCGTCATCCTCTTCTCTACGCGTTCATTCTCCGCCGCAAACGCGCATCGCGTCAGTCCTCGACGGCGCAGGCTATGCTGAGGTTCTCGCCAACTTTGATCTGGCGCTTGCGGCTCCAGCAGCCGATGGGATGGCGGCAGGCGGAAGCCGTGCAAGCATCCACGCCGGCCATCGCTGGCACCACGAACACACGAGCTCGCCGCCCAAGCCTGGATCACTTCCGCGGGTGGCTGTCGGTCCAGCCTCGGCATCGCCACCGCCCAAGCCGGCGTCGGCGCCGCGATCGTCCGCCGAGCTAATCGCTCCTCCGCGCGACGGATCAGCCGAAGTTGAGCAGGACTGGAACGAGAGCGCGGTTGACGCCTTTCTTGCGCTTCACCCGCCGGTTGGGTCGAATGCTGATGGCTCTGATGCCCACGATACGAACAAGCCCACCAGCCAGGGTCTCGACGTTTCGCCAGTCCTGCTCTCGCCGCTCGCAGCCCACAGCAACGGCGGTGGGAGTCCGCTAGCGATGCTGCTGGCTGGACTTGCGGTTGTCGCGCTCCTCTACCTTCTGGTCGTGGACGACTTTTGGAACTTGGTCGCGACCAACTCGACGTCAGGCACCCGGGCGCTGCACTGGGTTCTCGCTGTCGGCAAGATCCTCGCCTGGCTGCTTCTGTGGGCCGATGTTGGCCTTGCTGTCTCGTCCGGCTCGCTTGTGGGCCCGCAGCTTGTGCTGGAGGTACTGGGTCTGGTAGGCGTGGCGTTTGACGTGGCGTACGTGGTGACCGGTGGAACGAATGTGCTCGAGCTGATGGCTGAGGCGAGCACGTCACGAGCAGGCGTAGCAGCGCGCCGCGCCGCTATGGCCCACCGCATCGTTATGGCACCGCTCCTCGCCCGCGCTGTCCGTGCCATCTTTGCCGTCCACCTGGGCCACGCGGTCGCACTGCCGCACGTAAGCAGCGTGCCGCTTTGGAAAGCGCTGCGGCGGATGACTGCAGTGTGGAGCGCCGCAGGCGTCGGCCTCTACATCCTGGCGCTTGCCTGTCTCGGCTTTGTGCCTTCATCGGCCAACGAAATTGCACCCAATGCGGCGAGCGGGCTGGCGTCGGCGCTGGCGACGCTCAAAGCAACCGCGTCCGCGGGGGAGCTCTCGGACGCGACTCTGGTGGTGGTGAGCGAAGCGTTGGCGCTGCTCGACTCGCCACTCGCTGTTCTCAGCCTCACCATCGACGGAACGGAGTGGGTTGGCGTCGCGAGTGCAGCTGACGATCTGTTTGACATCCTCACCGACGTGGTGACTTCAAGCTCAGCTGCAGTTGGAGCGCTTGTCCGGCCCGTGGTGACTGTCCAGCTTGCGCTGGACGTCTCGCACTATGTGCGGTCGGAAGCCGGGCTCGCTTTGGCGCTGCTTGGTGGCCTTCTTGTGGTGCTGGCGATCGGCGCGCGACTTGTTCGGGCGACCACCCGCGAGCTTGGGCTGGCTGTTGTGGAACAGACGGTGACGTCGCTGACCGATGAGCTTGCGGCGCAGTGTGTGGCATCTCAGAACGCAGCGGGAGTGGCACAGGCGGCGCAAAGTGATGCCCAGGCCGTCGAGATCCTTGCTCGAGGAGCAAGCAAGCGGCAGGACCACTTTGCTGGGCTCCGTCGTGAGCTTCCGCAATTTGCGAGAGCATATGAAGTACTGGAGACTATGCTGGCGCGAATGGACGTACTAGCGGAGCACTCAGTCAAGCTGCGGTCGTTTGTGCGTGTGGTGCTGGTTGACCGCAAGCGGCTGGAGATGGAGACCTCGCTTTGGCGTGCCGAGTTTGGCCGGTTCCCGCTGCCGCGGGCGTTTGGCCCGCTGCTAGCCGAGCTTGAGCATGCCGGGTCTGCGGCAGCGCTGGGCGAGCAAGATGCACACGATGACCTTGTGGCGCGGATCTTTGACGTTGGCATTGTGCTGCAGCTCCGCGAGCAAGAGTCTGCGGTCTCGATCCTGCAGCACTTGCTACTCCAGTTTTGCACCGGCCCCGTGTCACTGATGGTGAGCGCGCCCGACGCGAGCGCTGATGTTGTGGCGCTCAGCGCCGCCAAGCGCCGCGGGTTCCGGATCCGCATTGTGAATCTCATCCACACCTGGGCCGAGACGATGACTGAGGACTTTGGTGAAAGCGCGATCCTTGCGCTCGTCTCCGATCTCATCCGCCACGTGCTGCCGATCACAGACCTTGACTACCACGGCGCGGTGCTCGAGGCGGCAGTGGCCGACTCGCTCGCGCGGTGGCAGCAACTGCGTGCCAATCAGCTCCCATGGCCGCTGCCAACTGCCGTGCCACTGGATGCTGCGGCGACGGCGGAGCAGCTGCGGGACCTTGTTGCGCTTGCTGTGATGCAGACACCGCTGGTGGCAGTTTCGCGCGGACAAGCGCCGCGGACACTGGTTCGGGTCCTCGACGCAATCCGCCGATGGGCGACGCGGCTGCTGGGCGCGGGCGCCTCGAGTGAGCGCATCGAAGCGCTGGCCGGCCTGGTGGCGACCGCGCAGGCGAGCCTCGATCATGGTGACTTTACCGTGGTCGAGCTTCTTCTCGAGGTGCTCACCTCGCCGGCTGCAACTCAGCTGCGAAGCGAGTGGCAGGCACTCGCGCCGAGTGTGGCGGAGCGGCTGGCGGCGGTCTCGCGGCGGGCAAGCGAGGCCGAGATGGAACGTAACAAGCTGTGGCAGGACCACGATGCCCACGTCTTGTCGTCGCCTCTTGTAGAAGCTCTCGATCGAATCTCCTCGCTCCGGACTCATGCCTCGCCTGAATCGCGTGCCTGGATCCTTGACTACGGTCGCGCTGCACTCGACGCCGGTGCGCGTGTCGGCGTGGATCATCCGGCGGACTCAAGCCACAGCAGGAGTGAGATGAGCCCGCCATCGTCACCTGTCGCGGCGCCGGTGGCATCAACCGACGAGCCTCCTTCGGCTGCCTCCGCCTCGCCGACCACGCCTCCCGCTGGCATCGCCCTGGAACACTTTTCCCAGCGCGAGCTCTTTGCCGCTACTACCGGCGGGAGAACGTAGCCCAGGCCGCTGGCGACGTGGTAGAAGAGTGTCGGGCGAGCGACGGCCACGGCAATGATGGTCGTACATTGGCCACTCCAACAGCAACGCCCTGTAGCAAAAGCCCTTGCTGAGCTCTACCGAGCACTTTCTTCCCTTCATCCATCGCACATCAATTATCCCATCGGCTGACAAGCCAGCGGGCGGGCGAGCCAGCACAGGTCGGCGCAAGGCAAATTACAGCCGTTGACGCGGCGGGAGGCGGCAGGAGGAGCCAGTTGGCCACGATCCACACTGGGCAAAGTCAGCAAGACGGCCCGCGGCGGACCACCCGACTACAGCAGCACTCAGCGCAGCCATGTCCTACCCCTACCCCTACTACCCTGTGGCCGGGTACGCCGGCTACCCGCCGTACGGAGCCTATGCCGCCCCGACCGTCGCCTCCTCCGCCTCGTCGTCCTCCTCGTACTCCTCCTCCTCGTCGTCGTCGTCGGACGACGGACAGCCTGCTGCTGCTGCTGCTGGTTGGGGCTACCCGGGAGCCATGCACTGCGCCTACGGCCCGTGCACTGGTGCTAGTCCGTACCCGCAAGCCCCGCTTCCACCGTCGGCCTTCCCGCCGCCGCCGGCCTTCATGCCCTTTGCCCCCGCCATGGGCTGCTGCCCGCTCCCGCCGCAGGCTCCTGCTGCTGCTGCTCCTGCTGCTGGCGGTGGTGATTGCCCATGCCCGCCGTTCCCGCCGCAGGCCTTTGCTCCCGCCCATCAGGCGCAGGCTGGGCCTATGCCAAGCTTTGCCCCGATGGGCATGTTTGCGGCGCCGGGCTACGGCTCGGGCTACGGTCACTCGGGCTACGGCCACTCTAGCTACGGCATGGCCTCGCCGGCGCGCGGGCTGCGCGTGAACGGCTTTGCCAAGGAGCTGACGCCGGTGCCTGGTGAGGGCCGGGCGCGGTGGGCAACGACGACGGCGCCGGTCAACATTGCGGTGATCAAGTACTGGGGCAAGCGCGACGTGGGGCTCATGCTCCCGCTCAACTCGTCGCTCTCGGGAACGCTGAACCAGGACGACATGGCGTCCAAGACCTCGGTTCTCGCCTCGCTTGATCTTGCCGAGGACGAGCTCTGGCTCAACGGGGTCAAGGAGGACATTGCCGGCAACAAGCGGGTGCAGACGGTGATCCAGCTTGCGCGCGAGCATGCGTCGGACGTGTACGACAACGCAGGGCGGGTGGTGATCAAGGCTGCCGACTGGCCCAAGTACAAGCTGCTCATTGTGTCGGAGAACAACTTCCCTACGGCGGCCGGGCTTGCATCGTCGGCGTCGGGCTACGCGTGCCTCACGTACGCGCTCGCCCAGGTGCTCAACGTGGAGACGGAGCTCTCGGCCATTGCGCGCCGCGGCTCGGGCTCGGCGTCGCGGTCGATGTACGGCGGATGGGTCAAGTGGGTGGAGGGCGAGCGGGCTGACGGGACCGACTCGATTGCGGTCCAGGTCGCGCCGCACACGCACTGGCCGTCGATGCGGGTCCTTGTCCTCGTCGCCAACGACCAGAAGAAGCACGTGTCGTCGTCCAAGGGCATGCAGCTGACGGCGGCGACGTCGCCGCTCATTCCGGACCGCCTCGCCATGCTGCCCGGCCGCATGGCCGCCATGGAGAAGGCCATCCTCGAGCGCGACTACGCCACTTTTGCCGACCTCACCATGAAGGACTCGGACAACTTCCACGCCACCTGTGCCACCACCGAGCCGCCGATCCACTACATGACCGACGTCTCGCGTGACGTGGTCAAGGTTGTCAACGCGTACAACACGGCCGTCGGCTCGCTCGCCGCCGCGTACACCTTTGACGCCGGCCCCAATGCTGTCATCTACCTCGAGGACGACCATGTCCTCCCCTTCCTCTCGGCCGTCCTCCACTACTTCCCCGCGCCGGACTCGATGACGAACGCCGAGTACCTCCCGCACGCTGAGGCCTTTGACTTTGCCGCCGCCAACCCACCGCCGGCCGAGCTGATTGCCGCCGTCGACGACGTCACCCCGGCCGCCGGCCGCCTCAAGTACCTGCTGTACACCTCGGTCGGCGACGGCCCGCGCGTTCTCGACGACTCGGAGTGCCTCATCGACGTCGAGGCCGGCCGGCCCAAGTTTGAGACCGAGTAAGTACCGATTGCTGCTCCCGCTCTCAGCTGCCTGCTCTCGCCAGTAAACTTGCAAGACTCGATGGTGGCTCCCCATCCATGCGTGCAGCTCGAGGGCCTTATTAGACCTGACGAGGGTAGTATTGTTGTTGTGTCGTGTTATATCGTTGTGTCGCGTATGTGAATGTGATTGTCCGCAGCGTCGAGAATGCGCACATCATAGCCTTTAGCTTTCCGGCGCAACCCATAACCCTGCGGTTTTCTCTTCCTGCCTGTACAGCCGGAGCACAGCCAGAACGGCTGCGCGTGGCCGGGTGTGTGGCGCCATTGTCATCGCCGGGATAGTGCATGAGCGTCTTGCGACGCCGCTGCGACCGGCATAAATGGTACCGCGTGCACACCAGGGCGGACAGCAAAACGTAACCGAAATTGGGAACTCGCCCGCGTTTCGGCAATAAAATGGCGAGTGCCGGCGCCACTCGCCGAATGGGTTTGTACGCTCCCTCACCAGGGCGGGGAGCCAGAGCCAGACGTGGAAGTTCAACCGGTGCGACAAAGGTGCTACAGTCAGCGGGCAAGCGACGAGCCGGACATACGCCAGCGCTTGATGAGGTAGTTGGCGGCGACCGAGCGCTGCGCGAGGCCCTCGTCGACTGAGGCCGGGAGGACCGGGTCGGCGGCGAGCGGCGGGGTGCGCGAGGCCGGGAGGAGGCCGGAGATGCGCGGCTCGGGGTGGTTCTCGATGGTGGCGATGAGCGAGCGGACAAAGGCCTCTCCAAGCGCCGAGCCTGGCCCGGCGGCAGAGTCAAGGGCCTCGAACGCGGTCTGCAGCGAGCGGATCTTGTCCTCGGCCTCGGGGTACTGCCGCAGCAGGGCGGCGAGTACCGGGCCGACAGTGGTGGCGACAAGCGAGGACTTGGGTGCCGAGTCGACGAGGGCCGTTTCGGTAGCGTCGTCATCCGACGACGAGGACGATGAGGAAGAAGATGAAGAAGATGAGGAAGAGAGTGTGCCCTGGGCGCGGGCAACAACCTTGCCGCCACGCGGCTTGCCAGGCAAAGCCGGCTTACTTGGTGACGGCGACGGCGCGGCACGGGTCGGCGAAGGCGCAGCGCGGGCCGGCGACGGGGCTGGCTTCGCGGCCTCCTTAGCCGGCGGGCGGTAGGTTTCAAAGTCCCACTCGTCAACAGTGGGTGCGCCGGCGGCGGGCGCGGAGCCCGACGCCGGGTCGGCCGAGCCGGACTTACCGCCGTCGGAGCGGGCCTTGCGCCACACGTTGTTTCCGTTTGAGATGCGGTAGCGGTCGTAGCGCTTAATGAGGTCACGGATGGCGGAGATCTTGCGGGCGGAACGGATAAACTTGTGGTTGAGCAGCTCGGCGGCGGTCGGGCGGGCGCCGGGCTCCTTGACCAGGCACTGAGCCACAAACGACTTGAACTTGGTCGAGAACTTGCCTCGGAGGACGGGCGGGGCGTTCTTGGGGATGAAGAACAGAGCCTTCATGGGCGAGACGTCGCCGAGCGGCGGCACGCCCTTGGCCAGCTCGATGGCGGTGATGCCAAGCGACCAGATGTCTGCGGGCGTCGAGTATCCGGCCTGCACAATGACCTCGGGCGCCATCCAGTACGGCGTGCCCACAAACGTCCGTCGCTTGGTCTGGTAGTCGGTGAGCATACCCGAGACACCAAAGTCGGCGAGCTTGACCTCGCCGTCGGCTCCGATAAGCACGTTGGCCGCCTTGATGTCACGGTGGATCATGTTGCGCTCGTGCAAGTAGGTGAGACCTTCGAGGAGCTCGCGCATGATGATGGCAATGTACGCCTCGCGGAACGGTCCGGCCCGGAGCAAGTCGAGCGCCGACCCACCGCCGAGGTACTCCATCACAATCCACAGCATCGGCCCGTTCATCACAGACCCATAGTACTGTGTGATGTGGTCCGATGAGCACGCCGCCATGACCTGGATCTCTTGCTGGATGTCTTTGATCTCGTCCTCAGAGTCTTCCAGATCGATGGTCTTGATGGCAACCACAAAGTTGGTCGGCGTGTAGACGCTGTCTCCCCACCACATGCACACACACACACACACACACACACACACACCATGGCCCACCAGCATGATATGCAGTCGACATGGAATACGAGGCGAGACGAGGGCGAGTTCCCCCCACCCCCACCCCCAGCGCGCGACAACAATAATGGCGTGAGTTGCACCTCTGCCACGCGGCCATCAACAGACACACAAGCACATACCAAACACACAGATACAAGCCCACTATCACACATTCTCCCTCTTGTGTACGTACGCTCTGTGGACCTGTCCAAATGAGCCTCGTCCGATGCATGGGCCCAGCTCAAAGTCGGACGGCTGGAACGAGCCGCGCGGTGGCGCACCTGCGGGGCGGTCCATTTGGGAGGGGAAGGGGAAGGGGAAGGGGGAGGGGGAGAGAGAGAGAGAGGGAGAGAGGGAGAGAGAGAGAGAGAGGACGGAGGGGTGGATGGTGCCTGCGGCCGGGGGCCGAGGGAGGTGTGGGTGTGGGTGTGGGTGTGGGTGGAGGAGGGGGGAGGGGGAGGAGGGGGAAGCGCTGTCGGCTCGTGGTGTTCATTGCTTTCGTTGCAAAAGGTGGAAAAGGGACGGGGACGGGCAGTGGGTGGCAGCCAAGCAACCAACGACATGAGCCTCTCCGAGCCCCCCACACACACACATACACACATACATACGCACACGTGCAGGGCAAAAGGACAAAGGACACACAAGCAGTGTGTTGGGTACGGTTGACTTTGCTTGGCTTTACGAGTTAGGCGCGGTCGACCTTCTTCGAGGCGTTGGCCGAGACCGAGTGGAGCTCGAGGAGCTTGGCAACGTCGAAGCGCGGCTTCTTGAGGATCTTGACCTTGCGGATGAAGACGTTCTGGAGCGGGTAGATGGAGCGGGCGGCAGTCTCGATCTCCTTCTTCATGACCTTGGGGATGAGCTTGGTGACGAAGCCCTTGAGGTCGACGTTCTCGGTCTCGCGGCGCATGATCTCGTGCATCTTGGCGCGGATGACGCGAATCTGCGAGGTCTGGGCGTACGAGGTCTTGCGGGTCTGCTTCTGGTGGCGGGCGGTGAGGCCGATGGCGAAGAGACGGATGAGGTAGCCGTCGGTGGTGCGGGCATCCACCGAAGCCTCAATGAGGGTGTGCCACTTGCGGGTGAGCGAGCGGAGCTTGTCGGTGGTGAACGACATGCCGTGGAAGTTGGTGAGGATGTTGCGGCCCTGAACGTCCTCGCAGATGAGCTTGATCTTGCGGAAGTTCTGCTCCTCGTCATCCTGCAGGTCACCAAGGTTGATCTCGAACACGCGGCCCTTGAGTGCCTCCGAGGCGATCTTAAGACCAGCGGTCTTGTTGACCAGGGTCTTGCCGACCTGGCGCTTGGCGAACATCGACGGCGCCTTGATGTCGTACCACTCCTTCTTGGCGAACTGGTCGACCGCTATACTCAAACAACACACACTCGTGAGTCTCCCTCCATCCCTGCAACCATTCCCCGCACGCCTTCTACTGCTGTCTGGCTCGGCGGCTGCTCCCCTCGGACCGCAAGTCATTTTCCGCCAAAAACCGAAAAAGTGTATGACTGCCGCCTGCCCGCCTGCCGACCGCCCGCCGCCCTACGGGGCAGACCAAGGCTCACACACGCCCATACAATGCATACGCACACGCGCCGCATGAAGGGGTATCCACCCGTGCGCTTGTCGGATCAGTAGCATCCTGCCCACCACCATGCCGGAGGCGATGGCTGCCTGCAGGCGGCGCGAGCTGGGATGGCCAGACATCACACACACACCAGCAGACAGAGCTGGTGGCAAGGGAGGGGAATACAAGGCAAATAATCACGTACCGCGGCGGCCACCCTTCTTCTTGCCGCCCTTGGAGAGACGCTTGTTCTTCCTGTATAACGTGTGCGTGTATGTCCGCTGCTGTGAGTCCCTGCCGCCCTTGCATCCTTGCCAGAGTGGCCGACACTGGCCATCCATCGAAATAAAAATGGCCGCGTCGGACAGCCTCCGAGGGCCCCATACACAACACCCAGCCACGAGAAGCGGCCCCAGACGCAGTAGTCTGTCTGTGCATGCGCTGCACCGCCCCGGAGGCCCCTTCCCTCCCTTTCACTCTCATCCCTATACCCCACTGTCTCACGTACCCGATAGCCATCTTTGTATGAGAGTTGTGCGTTGGCCGATGCCGTCCAATTCATCCCTTCGTTTCCTCCGTCGTCTCATTCCGACTCGACTGGCGAACCGAGTCGAACCGACCGAACGAATGAGCAAACGAGTCGCCGAGTCCCCTCCCCGCCCCCCCCCCCCCCCTTCTTCAAGCCAACCAACAAATGAACGAACACAATGCCTTGCCGACCACATCAGGCCGGACCCAGCGTGACAAGTAGATGGCCAATGTGGTAACTGTAGCCGTGCTTGCTACAATCGATGGGAAAAGCAGTGACAGCTGCAGCGGCTAATCGACACGGATCGACATACCACCGTCATTAGAATGAGCATGATCGCCTCTCAATGATCACAGCAGAGACAATAGTCATGATGACAACAGTCGTAGCTAGCACAGCCACGACCATACACGTAGTGCATGATCGCCACAACCGACATCAGTCACATACAAACCATATCAAGCCAGGTAGCCAAGCTGCGTGCTTGAGGTGCAACACGAGGGACATGCGCTCCGGCCGTCGTTCCTAGCGACTGTTCGCCCCCCCTTCCCCGGGCCAAGTAGCTGCCATTCCCACACCCCTCCCAAGCCCACACCCTCCGCACACGTCATGGCTGGTTGGCAGGACTGGCTCTCGTCGGCGGCGGTGACGGCTACAGGCACCGGTCTCGACCTGCTGGAGGGTCTGGGCAAGTCGGCCGTCGGGGTCCTCACCGCCGAAGCGGATGAGGCTGAGGAGCGAGTCGGAAGCTGCGGGCAGGGCGCGAGCGGGCTGGAGAGTGCTGGCCGAGGTGGGAACAGAAGCCGAGCTGGTGCTGGGAAGCAAGCAGACGCAGCGATGGCTGGCCAGAGGCCAGAGTCGGCTGAGCCTTTGCGCAGATCCGCCAAGAAGCGACTCCGGCTTGGCCTGGATCTGGCGTACGGCGTCGATCTGGTGGCCCGCGGCGTGGAAAAGGTGTCCAAGGTCTCAGCCCGGCCTGCCGCTGCCCTGGCCAGCGGACGGTCGTCGCTCTCAGCTGCGCTTCGCGATGCTGCTCGCGCCCATCACTCGCCGCCGGCATCGCCCGCCTCGCGCAACGCCGCCGCCCGCGCCGCCTGGGACATGGCCTTTGCTGCTGCTGGTGGCGACACCGTCTGGGGCGCCCTTGCCGCATCGGCCGTCGCAATGAGCGAGGCCGTGTGCTCGGCCCTTGCCCAAGCCCCACCAAACGCCGCCGCCCATTACGCCGCCGCCGACGCCGCCCTCCGGGCCGCTATCTACCTCGATCCGGCCGACGCAGCCTCGACGTCGCCACTGGCTCTCTCGCTAGGCGAGTGGGTCGCTATGGTCGCGCCCGATGGCGCCTCGCTTGTCTGGTCCGCAGCCTCGGTCCGCAGCGCCGAAGCTGCTCTCGCTGCCCTCCCCTCGGCCCCGTCCACCCAAGACGCTGTCGCTGCCCGCCTCACTGTCGCCGCCCTCGAGCTCATCGCTGCCACCACATCTGCGCTTGCCTCGCACACGCCGCCAGCAGCATCCGCCGAGGCCCTTGCAGCCTGGGCAGCTGAGGGCGGCACCCTCATCGCCCGCATTGACGAGTGGCTCACCGCCCGTCTCGCCCATGTCACCGCCTCACCGCACCCGCCAGCCGTCATCGCCGACGGAGCGCTCGTCCTCGACGCCGCCCTCCGGCACGGCCTGATATCTGCTGCGCTTGCTGCACCTCATGCCATCAACACCGATGGAGAGCAAGCTACCAATGAAGACAACTGAGCCGCAGGCCAGTCTGGATCTCTCACACGCTCGTCCGCTGCGTTCAAGAGGCGGCTGGGACGGACTGGCTTGGCTGGCTAACTAACTCTGCGGCAAATGATGAGGTGGGAGGAGGAGGAGGAGAGGATGTGGGGATGGATTTTACGGAGCACTACATCTCAATAACAAGCTTGCGCTTGGTGTACATGTTCTGCACAATGTTCTGGCGCTGCATCATGGCCAGAGCCTCGTGACCCTTGGCCAGAGCAGCAGCCTTGGCCTCGGGCGAAGTGGCCTCACTCGCCGACGCCCGGAACGCGTCGCGAACACGGCGGACAGCATACGACCGCACATTGTAGCCAGAGAACGACGACGCAGACCGCAGCAGGGCGCGGTACAGTCCGAGAGCACTGCTGGGGGCACTCATCCTCTACTGGTACTTGACGTCGAGTGTGTCGGTGGGTAGAGGGTGAATGGGAACGCAAGGTGGGAGAAGGGGGGGGGGGGGGGGGGGGGGGGGGGGGGGACCGAGCGGGTCGTCGACAGCCATCGCCGAGTCGCCGACAGCTCTGTCGCTGACGACACCGCACACACCGCAACACCTGCCAACCACTCGATCGCCGATCACCCACACGGACACATGACTTTTGCTACACATGACACAAATATGCAACAAGGCCAAAGACGGCAGTTGCAGACGTTGTCGAGGGGCTCGATGTGGCTGACATTGGCGGCAGCCTGCCGTCAAGGGTGGAACGGACACAAGTCGCATCGCCGGCGAGGTGGAGGACGGCGGCCAGAAAGGCTTGCACCTCGGCATCGACAGCATCGTCCGTGGCAAGGGCATCAACAACAACAAAACGTGCAAGGACTGTTCCATCGTGTGTGCCTGGCATGTGGCCCAGAGAAAACAGTGTCGTCCGCTTCAGGCTAGGTGCTCCATCAGTGCTGGCCAGGCGCGCGGTCCGCGCGCCCATGACCACCAGTGGTCGCGTGTTGAGCGCCCAAGCCCGGGCTCGCCACTTGGCTTCGTCGCTCTCGGCCCCGTCCCCAAGGAAAATCGCTACATGAGAGCGGACCCCGTCTTGCAGACCCTCTTCCAGCCCACGCAGATCATCGTGCGCTAGCCGCCGGTCGACCATCAACTCCAGCATGCCTGGCGCAAGAGATGCCACACCCATCGCTTGAACCGTGTACGCAGCGAGGCCCGTCTCCCGCAGCGCAGCGCCCATGACTGCAGGGTAAAAGTTCGCTCCCAGCGCAGAGAACGCCTTGCGCTTCCGTTCCACAAACCGCAGGCCGTCAAAGGTGACAAGGCCATCGTCGCCTGCTCTGCGCCGGCTGTGGCCCACCTCCTTGATCCGGGCCACCAGCTCGCACGGTCGCGTGAGCAAAACGTGAACAGTGAGCTCAAGCTCGGGCGTCACCTCGTCGACCACCCACTCGAGCTCAAGATGCTCCGAGTAGCCAAAGAACGCCCGGCTCACCACAGGCCCGTGTTCCACACTCACCTCCATCGCCTCCACTAGCGACGCCCCCAGCGCGGTAGAGCCATGCGATGCCGGTAAGCCGAGCATGAGCACCGCCACCCCAGCACCAAACGCTGCAAGCCCTACAAGACTGCTAAGGTACGTGCCCGAGCCCCGCAACATGCCGCCAATCAATAGTCCGAGTCCAAAGCCGGCGCCCGCCTCCATCCAGTGCGGCACGTACGCCTCGAGCGCCAATGCCAGCACAGCCGCGAGCACAGCGCCTTCCACAGCCCCGATCGCCACATTGACCGATCTCGGCGCGTGCTGCAGAGACTGCGCCACTCGCCACACCACACCGCCCCACTTCAGGCTCGCCGCGAACCGAGCAAATCGCAGCGGATCGCCCAGCAGCCACCACGACATGACTCCCGAGCCTGTCAACCATCCGATTGCCATGCCAATCCAGAGAAACAGTCCGTAGTCATCGTACATCAAGTAAGCTCCACCATCGGTATGGCCGTATGTCATCAGCACCACATCGAGCGTCGGCGTGCCTGCCCGCTCCACACGGACCGTAGCGCCCAGTCCAGCCCACATCGATGCCGTGCGCGGCGTGAGCACCACACCCGTCACGAGCTCGACGCCGCTGCTTCCATCAGTCACCACTCTCTTTCGCCTTGCTCCCGTACACATCCCCGGCTCGCCACTGCTCGGTTCCAGCGTCACCACCAGTTCCTCGGCCCTCAAGCCAGCCACCACCACGACCACATCGACCACCCGGTACCCAGGACCCGGCTCAACACCCAAAGGTGCGGAAACGTTCAGCAGGCTGTAGCTGCGCGGCGCAGAGATCTCAAGCCCGCCGCCCGCCATCATACTACGCCAGCCGTGGGGAATTGCGTGCGCGTCTGCCGGCTCACTCCCGCGCACAGCCGACATCTGGCACACGCCGGCTGCCTCCCCGCCTACCGCCACGCCACTCACCCAGGCTGGAACGAGGATTGAGATCCGCCACTGCCGAGCCGCAGCAGTAGGATTGAAGACCGTGATAGCATGCTGAGGTCCAGTACGCTTCTCCAGGCACGCCACAGCTGCTGCTCCCGCAGCTGTGGTCGCGTTGGCCAGCAACGCCACATAGTCCGACACCACATATGCCGCTGCCGTTCCGGTGATGGCATCATGATGCGCCATGACACCGAGGTTGTAGCGCGCACGATCAAGTGCGCTGCTCGCTGCTTGGCAACCTGCCACTGCCCGGAGTGCCTCCACCCCGGCAATCCGCTCCTCCGCCGCACGAACAAGTCCCTTGACTACCGGCCGCGATGCATAATAACCCGACCAGTACGCCAGCAGCTTGTCGCGGTAGGGAAAAAGTCGCGGTCGCGGCGAACAGGGTAGCCCGCGCTCGGGCTTCGATCGTCCAAGGCAGCAAAGACCGACGTCAGCGTCGCGTATTCGACCCGGACCGAGCCCAGCAGCGGGTCGTTGTCCGGGTTTGCCGCCATGTACCGCAAGATCTTGTCCATCTGCACAAACCCGTCAATGTCCTGCCACGAAAAGTCGTTGCCCCATGGAATCGGTACCACGCCTGAGCCGGTCGCACGCGCCCGGGAGAGCACCAGCTGTGCCAGCCGCTTCGCCACTGACTTGACGTTGTGCTCGTACACATACGGCCCGTGCCCGACCCGGGTCTCGGCCTCCCAGTCAAAGCCAAATGGCGACGAGTAGTGATCGTACAGCACCAGCGTCCGGAGCCGCTTCCCGTCATCATACTCCCACTCGAACGCCAACGAGCCGTCGGCCACCATCGCGGCCTTGATTGAGGCGTCGATGCGGTTAATGACCAGTCCCTCGAAGCCTTGCCCGGCCAGCAGTCCAGCGGTCAGCGCCGACGCGCCAAACGGGTCGATCTGCCACCCGTACTTTGCTCGGCCTGGCACGCCTGCCGCAGCCAGCGCCGCATGCCCAACCGTCCACTGGGCCAAGTGGGCGTACGGCGTTGTCAGCGCCTCGTCCGCCATCACCAGCCCGCCGCCCACAATCTCGACCCGCCCCTCGCCGACTAGTTCACGCAACGTTCTCTTGGTCATCTCATCGACCGAGTCATCTCCAAACCAGGCTGCCAGAAACGCAGCCTCGGAGAGGATGAACGTCCGCTCCTCGCCGCCTGGCTCGCTCAGCGCCGCCACCACATTGTCCAGAATGGCCCGCACCTCGTCGGAGAAGTAGTCCGAGAGCGTCTTCAACCAGCCTGCGTCCCAATGCGAGTGTGGTACAAGCAAACCCACAGCCTTGACTCCGTCATCGCCATGATCGTCGCCAAGTAGCCCCCTAGACGGTGCTCCTCCCTGTCCTCCACCGACAGACGCCATGGCGCCAACACCCGGTGCTGCCACGACGTACCCGACCGCCAACGCCAACGCCAACGCCACCGCCGACGCCACTACCATCGCTGTGGATGCCACTGCCGGCACTTTGCGTCGCATGACACTGCCCTCTGCCGTCGCCAGGTCAAGCCAAGTGTGGCCCCCAGCACTGGTCTTCCTCACGCCCGCACCCGTGCTCGCAGCGCCGCAGTCATGTCACCTGCTGGGCAACGCGGCGCACTCGCTTTATCTACCAGCTACCTCGGCGTGGGCAGTCCATACACCACAGCGGCCGACGCCACAAGCCAGGAAAGTTTGCACTCGGCGCGGGCGATCGGGAGCGCCGCTTCGAGCGGCGTCTCGCCCTCGACCGCAAGGCTGATGAGCTTGTCCGAGAGCAGATCCAGATCGCCGTCGGTCACGTCCCACAGATTGCTGACTACCCGTGCTGCACCGGCCTGCAGATACGCCGACGCCATGCCGATTGGGTTGTGGACGCCACGCGCACGCAGCAGTCCCGACGAGCACCCAAGAAGGAGGACGTGCTGCGGGGCGGTGCCCTTGAGCGCCAGCACGTGGTCCATGGCAAAGTAGTCTTCGCCGGCGCCGTGACCGCAGTACACGTACGTGTTTGCAGATCGGAGCCCGGCAGCAAGGTCGGCCGTGGCTGGCGGCGCTCCGGCGGTGCCGGCCCATCCCTCGTGTGCGGCAAACCGCTCCTCGAAACGGGCTTGCGTCTTGACAAGATCGCCCGACGGGTTGAGCAGGTAGAAGACGGCTCGCTCACGCGCAACGCGCTCGGGCCGCGGAGCCAGAAACCGTGTTGATGGCACCCGGGTGCACGCCGTCTCAGCCAGGAGCTGGAGCGACTCCCATGGCAGGTGCGCGAGCAGTGGATCGATGACCAGGACAAGTGTCGACCCATTGTCGACACCGAACACCGAGTCCAGGTCTCCGCCCAGACTCCCTAGCCACTGGCTCTGGATCGCATCCAACAGCGCCCCGAGCGCCTTGTCAAGCGCAATCCGCGTTTTCCACCACTTGGCCTTGCCAGCTTTGGTCGAGACTGCCACAGCGCCTGATGTCGTCGCCCGTGAGAGCAGCATGATCGCTCCGAATCGTTCAAGCACCCACTCGAGCGTGAGACCGGTCTTGGGCGGCTTGGTCGTCACACCTCGTGCCCCGGCCTTGTACACGCTAGCCAGCTCGGTCTTGCTCGCCCGCTGGTACCGAAACACTGAAGCCGTGTCGATACCGCCAGCCTCGCCGCCAGCGGGAAGTGGCACGCCGGCAACGACCGCATTCCGGCCGTCCGCAAACTGGCGCACAACCAGCAGCAGCTCGTGCTGTGGCGAGAGCGCCAGTGTCACAATATCGTGCCCGCTACTCGGCGGCTCGCCAAACTCGGCGCCAAGGCTAGGCGACATCGATGCTGCAACAGCATCGGCCACACTTGGAGCAAAGGCGCCGGCAGCTGGCGCCAGGAACGCACACCACCGCGCAATTCGCTCGCACAGCACCATCTCACCGCAGCCGCGCGCAGCGTTGGCAAGCTCGACAAGCTCGGACATGGTAGCGTCAAGGTTACCGGCCCGGGCTTGGCGCTTCGCCGCGACCCGCGAGTCGTGCGACCGCTACGACGGGTGCTTGGTGACGCTTCTGCGGCGGCGGTCCAAGCCGCCACCGCTGCGCTGGTGTCGGCATTGGCCTCGACCGCTAGAAGACGGACCCAGAGCTTGTCAATGGGAAGCGCTGCGTCGGAAAGACGAAACGCGTCGGGGTCCAGCTCGCACTCGCCGGCAGCCAGCTGCGCGGTGAGCATAAGCCGGCGGAGGCGGCCGCGGAAGACGCCGACCACAACCACGGTCGTGTCCTCGAGGACAAGACCCTCGAGCTCGCCGCCGCTTCCGCCCAGCGCAGAGACCTGGTCCAGCGCCGAGCGGTAGAGCGAGAGAGCATCCCCCCAGTTGCGGGTGGAAGAGGCCAGAACAGCAGCACGAGTGGTGATTGCCAGCTCAACGTGCGGCGAGTGCGGGATGTTGGCGGCGAGCGCCTTGACGGCGTCGAGCGCTGCGCTGGCCTCATCAAACGCGTGCTTGGATGCGAGAAGGGTGACCATCTCGAGCCGGAACCGCAGCTCGACGCCAGCGGCACCGAGCTTGGCGCCAAGTGCAGCGCCCTTCTTAAAGTAGTACGCAGCCTTGCGAACGTGCGAGGCCGCCAGCGAGAGCGAGCCGAGCCGGTGCAGGGTGTCAGCGAGGTTGGCCACAAAATCGTACGGCAGATCGAGCATCGAAGTGTCCGATCCGCTTGCACCCTCGACCGATCGTAGAAGCGCCGTCGACTTGGAGAGGGCTGCAGCAGCCGCAGCAAGCGCTGCAGAGCCCTCACCAACCTTGACCCGCAGTGCGGCGCGGGCGGCCTCGGCCAGTGGCTCCAGAACTGGGTCGGCACCCGAGCTGTCAGCAGTCTCCAGCACCGCCAGCGAGTCGTCAAACTGCTGCAGCGAGGCCAGCGCAAGCGACCGTGCCACCGCACCACGGCCCGAGTAGACAGCGGCGTCGTCGGCAGCATTGCCCGCCTCAGACACGCCGTCGGCCCCGTCGCCGGTTCCGCCATCCAGCGTCTCGAGCGCCAGTCGCGGGTCGCCCAGCACGTTGTGCGCGGATGCAAGGCCGACCGAGGCTCGCGCGCCGGCCCCAAGCGTCAGCGCCCCGTTAAGGACCATGACTTGCAGCGACGGGTAGCCAAGAAAGGCGAGCATGTCGGCAACATGAACAAGGTGGCTCTGCAGCGCCAGAGCCGAGTCACCGGCCGGCGCTGCTAGCAGCGCGCGCCACACAGAGGTGGCGAGGTCAAACGGCATGCGCGGCGCGCCAAGACCATCAGTGTGACCGCTACTTTCCCCATTAGTGTGTCGGACACGCTAGTAATGGCCGCCTGTCGGGCCGGAGTCGGCTCAATCTGAAACTGGAGCGTCCACAACGCCACCCACGAGCAGCCGAGTGCAAGAAGTGTCTGGCCCGCGTGCGACGCGGCCTCATCTGCTGCACTGGTGAGGCTCACCAGGGCCTCGAGGAGAGAGTCGAGCGCGGATTCGGGCGAGTTAAGGACCGTAGCGCGAGCGTCATCCAGAACTAGCTCGGCGAGCGCAACGTGCGAGACGCTGTCTTCGCTTGACGCCATCGCATCTCGGAGGAGCTTGCGGGCAGCGCCCCAGAGCAGGTCATTAGCGGCAGTGAGCTCGGCCAGGACCTCGCGGACAAGCGAGAACGGAGCTGAGGCAACAAACCATTCCGGCAGTAGCTGGCCCAAGTCGATCAACTCATCAGGCGCTGGTGTGCTCGCTCGCCACGCTGCTAGGAGCGAGTCTGGCAGAGGCGCGCTCAACGATGCCGGCGAGTCGAGGAGCGAGACAGCCTTGAAGCCGACGGCGGCAAGAACGTGGCCCGCTGCAGCATCGCTGTTCCTGCGCTTGCGCTCAGTGTGCGAGAGCAGAAAGTGGATGTGGGCCAGTGATGACGCAGCCTGTGGATCAAGGCTCTCGACGCTGGGCGTTCCGCTCGGCACAGCCGCCTCGAGCAGCAGGTCGAGGCCAGCGGAGAGAAGCGCCAGCGCAGCCGGATACTCCCCGTCGGAGAACGCGCGAGTGCCAATCTTGGCATAGCCGCCGGCCACGCACCTCAGCAGTGAGGGCTCTGGCGTGGCGGCCGACGAGGCGCGCAGTAGGGCGAGGGCGCGCGCAAGGATGGGTTCGTCGGCAGGAGCAGTCACACAGGCCAACAGCATGTCCAGTCGGACTGCAAGCAAGCCAGCAAACTTGGGCTCAGCCACCTTGAGCTTGGCCTCGAGCTTGGCGGCATAGCCCCAAAGCCGCTCCAGCGGAAGCAGAACGTCAGCGGCACGGGCGTCCTTGAGCGCGCGAAGCGAGAGCGTCGCGACCTTGAGCACCTTGCCGAGACTCACGTTGAGAAACTTGAGATCGACACCAGCCGTGAGGTTGCTCTTGTTAGAGAGCCAGGCCACGGCGTCGTCAGCAAAGTGTGCAGCAGAGTCGGACGTACCGTCGCCGCCGAGAAGCGCGAGCATGAGGCCGTAGAAGACAACCAGCGGCGCGTGCTTGGTTGGATGAGCAGCGGCTGCCAGAGGGCCCTGGAAGAGCTCAATGAGCTGAGGCGCAGTCTGCGAGAGTTGCACGCGCGGAAAGCGTGCAAAGAGAGCCACCAGAGCCGGCCAGACCTGCGGCGCGGGTGCAGCCGAGGCAAGCATGGGCGCGGCAGCGAGGGCTGCGTCGAGAGCGCGATCGGGCACGACCGGGGCTAGTCGAGCCATAGCCGAGCAGTAGACAGCCGAATTGAGGCCTGATGACCGTGTGTGCGCGTGGAGCAAGTTCAAGGCCAGAGCCAGAGCCTCATCTTCCCCAGGTTGTGGTAGCGGCGACGGCATGCCCACACGCTGAGCCAACGAGACTGCCTTGGCAGCCAGCTTTGGCGCCAGCCCATGATCAGCCATGATGAGCATACGAACCAGGGCGTCGACCGCCGCAGGTGGGAGTTGCTCCATCACCTTGAGTGAATGTATGTGTGGGGGGGGGTGGAGAGAGAGAGAGAGAGAGAGAGATAGAGAGAGGAGGGGTGGGGGGGTGGGGGGGTGCTCGTGGTGGGAAGGAGGGAGAGGAGGGGAGAGGGGGAGAGGGAGAGGACGGATCGAAAGGAGGCACGTGAGAGGGGAGGCGGGCGGGGACTTCGACTAGACCTCAGCATCCTCTGTTGGACACAAAGTTCTGGGGGGGGGGGGGGCAAAGTGTTGGTAGAGATGGGAACAGCCAACTCGTTGAAGAACGCAAAGGGAATGGACGGGCGGCTGGAGGTGTCTGTGTCTGTCTGGGCGCCTGCCTTGCCTGCGCCAGGCTGGGCTTGTGGTGTCAGAGGTGGCTGTCCTAGGGCCGACGACAGAGGGTGTGGACGACTGGTTGCGGCGAGTGTTCCGCAGACGGGCATAGCCACCGCCCAGGCGGGGAGTGGGTGTGTATATGTGTGGGCGCTGCCAGGCGTGCATGATGAGGATAGCAGCGATGGTGGGCGAGTGGCGCTGTTGTCGGTGCTGGAGCCGCCGCACGGCGATGAGATCGAGGTCCTGGCTCTGCTCCCAGTGGCGCTCCATCCCAACGCGCCGCGGGAGCATGTCCTACTGGTGCTTTACGGTTCGGGCGCGTGTGTGCTGTGGGATGTTCCGCTGGGCGAGGTCCTTGCTGCGGCGCCTGTTCCGGTTTGGATGACGCCAAAGGTAGGCAAGCTCGGACTCGCGCAGGGCATGCACGAAGGAGTGCTGGCGGCGGTGTTGTACTCGGAGCGGGGTCATGTGGCAGTGCTCTCGCTCCCGACGCTGGAACATGTTGTCTACTCGCATGTTCAGCCGCCGGATATGGTGGCGGACGGTCCGTGGAAGGCGATGGCCGGGCTAGCAGCGGCGACCGGCGGCGCGACCGACGTGATGCTCTGGGCAAGCCAGCGCGCGGTGGTCGCCTTGCAGCACTCGCTTCTGGCGTCGAGTGGGGCGAGCGAGGGACAAATGGGCCCGGTCATGCTGGCAGAGCTGGAGATTCCGGACGGCCTGGGGGAGATAGTAGGGGTTGCCGCCGGGCCGCTGGGGCGGGCGCTGGTGGTGTGCTCAGGCGGATGGCTGGTGGCCAGTGTCGGCGAGCTGGAGATCCTTGCGCTGCATCATGCGCCAGCTGCCGCTTCTGGCTACGTATACTCTGGCGGGCAGTGGGTTGACGAGAGCTCGGTGGTTGTTTTCCAGGTCGCAGGAGACGCGGTGGAGCTGACATTGTTCTCGCTAGCGAGCTCGCCGCCGACGGTGGTTGCCGTCCTGTCGTCGACCGAGGACGTGCCGTCGTCGATGGTGGCGGCCGAAGGCGAGCGCGCGCGAACGTTTGCGGTTGCGGTTGATCCCGAGACCATGCAGTTGGGGCTCGTTCTTGCGCCGGGCACGAACGGATGCAGTGCGGGATCAGGCCTGCCGCTTCTCCGGTGGTGGCCAGACGCGAGCGAAGCGAGCGTGTGTGTGACAAGCGCACTCGACACTGCTTACAACGAGTCTGTGCCGAACGGACGCAGCGAGAGCGAGCGCCGGCTGACGGCGAGCGCCGGGGGGTACGAGTACGGTGTGCCGGCGTATGTGGCGTGGGGATTTGACGATGGCAGCCTAAGCCTAGACTCGATGCCGCCGGCTCAGGCGAGCGGGACGGCGACGATGCCAAACTCAGCGAGCCATCCTGGAGCGGTGACTGCGCTCCTCGGCGTCGACTGCTCGGCTGACGTCGACAGTCTTGTGCTGCTCTCAGGATGCATCGACGGAGCTGTTCGGGTGTGGCAAGTCGACGTGGATGGCCGGGAGCTAACGCTGGAGGTGACGTTGCGAGTCCATATCACGCCGGTGCTGCGGCTGGAAGAGCCACCACGGCACGCCGCAGCGTCGCTTGCTGTGGGCCGTGTTGCGGTCTCTGTTGCGCGCGATGGTGCGGTGGCGGTAGTGGCTGTGGACATGGCGACAGCACTGTTTGTGCTGCCTGCGCTATCGTCAAGCGATGTGGGTCTTGTCTGGCGGCCATCGCTGGACACGCTTCTTGTCCACGACCGCGAAGCCGAGATGGTGCATGTGTGGCAGCTGAGCACCGGCTCGCGCGAGCGGATGATCGAGGGTCAGCTTGTGCCGCATGTGCTTGCGGCGGCAACCAAGGAGAACTTTGCGGCAAGCGCGCGGAGCCAAGCTCCCGGCTCTGCCTTTGGTGACAAGTCCAACTTTCTGGCGCGGCTTGCGGGCCGCGGCATGTTTGACTCGCAAGTGTTTGCGTCATGGAGCAGACTGCGGGGCGTCGGCGCGGTGAGTCTCTTTGTCCGAGTCCGAATGATCATCCACGCGTTCCGGACCGGAATCAGCGAACTGGCGGCGATGGAGAGCGAGCCCGAGATGCACATCGAGGTGCCGAGGGCGCTGGTGGAACGTGCGGTGGGTCGGCTGGCGGCACTGGCGCGGGTGCTTGTCCTTAGTCTCTCGCCGCACATGAGCTCGTCACCGCTGTTGAGTGACGATGGGTTGGGCGAGGGGCAGAGCCCGCGCGGGAGCGGACTGGCGCGGTTTGGACGAGTGCCACAGCTGGTAGGCGGCGAGCAGTGCGAGCGGGTAAGTGCTGGGCCAGCACACGCGCTGCTGCCAGCTCTGACGGTGCGGCGCAGCGGATGGCCGTGGCGAGCGTCGGGCGAGTTTACGGCGCGTGCGGCAGTAACCTCGGCGGCGGTGCTGCGGGCGTTCAAGTGGACGACAACCGTGGTCGAGGGTGGCGTTGTGGCCGGGCGTGTGCGGCGTCGGGTTCGGGCCATGGTCGAGTACGTGACCGAGGTTCTTCCGCGCGAGCTGAGCCAGTACGCCATGCCGGAGCTCGCGGTTCTTGCAGCGTTTTACCAGGACGTCAATCTGGACGTGCAGCGTGCGGGGCGGCGGGTGATTTCTTCAGCGCTGCTGCGGACAAACGAGAGTGAGGTGGGCGAGCTTGTGGCTAGTGCGCTGGCGACGTTTGAAGGGCGGGCGGCAACTGAGCCGCGATGGATCTCAGCAGTGTTCATGCTCGGTATTCTGGGCACCCTCTATCCATCGCTGCTTGACGGGGCGAGTGCGTGTGCAGTGACCACGGGCCTGGAGGAACTGGCGTCGTCGGGCCCGTTGCTGTTCCGAACGACCGCAGTGTCTCTGCTCGGCGCGGTGATGCTCCCGTGGGAGCGGTTTGTCAAGGCCGGAGAGGTGGTGCGGCTGACAACGCGGGCACTGCAGGCAGCGTCAACCGGATCGCGGTACCAGCAGGCGTGCGTGGAGACATTGATGCAGGTGTCTGTGCAGGTGCCGGACGAGTTTGTGGTGACACTCCAGCGGGCGGTGCTCAGCGCAGGTGAGGACGGTGGGGAGAGTGGCCCCTACCGGGTCCTGTGCGTTCAGCTGCTGGCCCGGGCAGTCTACGGCTCGGCGTCGGTCTTTGAGCCGTGGGCCGGAGCGCTGGTGGCCATGATCATGTCGCTCGTCTCGGGCACGCGGTCACTGCAGCACAAGTCGCTCCTTGCCGAGTGCACGCAGCTCCTGAGGGTCCTTATCCACATATACCCACATGTCGACGCTGATGCAGCGTCGGACAGGGTGGTAGCGCCGTCACCGGAGAGCCCGCGAGTGATGCGGGTGTACGCGGCGCAGACCGGGGCCAAGATCGTCGACGTAGTCGACCACGACGGACCCGTGACCGCTGTCAAGTTCCGGCCCGGCACTAGCGGCCGCATGCTCGTCACGCTGGTCATTTCCACCGGACGGCTGCGGATCATGGAGGAGGTTGCGCCGTTGTTTGGAGGCAAAAAGGCCAAGATCCGCACTGGCTTTCTCCTTGAAGCTGCCGGAGTCGACTTTGCCCGCACTGTTCCTGTCAACGAGATCCTTCAGGCTGTCCGTCTTGGATGGAGCAGCGGCGGGAACGCAATTGTGGTCAAGGCCTTGCGCGGCGTAGAGCAAGCCTTTGATCTTCCAGCGCATCTTGTCGGATAGCAGTCTCGCCACGCAAGGCGGCTGTAGCAGAAATTGGGTGCCACGCCGTGGCCGTGTCGGCCAGTCGTCTAGTCCACCGGGTGGCGGACGGTGGCGAACGATGGCTGTCTGCCACCCGCCACCACACGGCACACGTGTCTCGCCTCCTTCGAGCCATGGACACCCAGTCCGAGCGGTCCAAGCGCTTTGCGCACCTGCTCAAGCCAATCAAGTACGTATAGGGTGATGAAGTATGAGTCTACGTCATGTAGCGAGTAGCGGAAGATGGTTTGGCTACAGTAGGGGGGAGGGATGGACGGGTTGGAAGCCAAGGTAGCGAGTGGTGATCAGTCCAGTTTTGGCGCGCAAACGGCACCAGCGAACAGCAGGGCATGCATGGATGGGTGCGGGTAGTGCCATGGAGAAATTCAGGACTCACGTACAATGGTGACGGACGGTAACGGGTGTGGATGGACGTGGGGTTTGTGCTGGACGATGCTGCGGCGTGGTGTGTGGTCGGGGGGGGGGGGGGGGGGACGGTCGACTGGTTGACGGGGCGGGGGAAACGACAGGGACCTGACCCAGTCGTGGAACATCGACATCGCGGCCGAGCTAGAGGAGTACCTGGCGGATCTGGAGTCTGTGGCGTTCTCGTTTGATGGCGGCAAGACAAACCTCAACTTTGCGGAGGCAGCCCTCGTCATCCAGGGCTCTGCGTGCATCTACTCGCGCAAGGTCGAGTTTCTGTATGCGCTGGTGTACCAGACGCTGGAGCTGGTCTCGGTCCGCAAGAAGAAGATCAAGTCACGCAAGCCATCCTCGATTGACGCCAACGGAGTCGATGCCGACGTCGACTTTGCCGCCGATCCGCTGCTGCTCTCGCTGGACGGAGAGCTGACGGCGGCGAGCGGGATCGACCTCGACGAGGAAGCTGAGGCCGGAAAGGGCGGAAGCAGCGGAGCTACCACGTTGCTGGCACGGACACCACTCTCGCTGCTTCGGATGAACACAGATGGCGCGGCGGTGGGACGTGATCCTGCGGCGCGGATGCGGGCGGAGCTGGCCAAGTTCAAGATGAACTCTGCAAAGATGCACTCGTCATCAGGCGCGCTGATGCTCGATCTGGACGAGGCGCTGTTGTTTGGCGGAAAAGAGGGCTTTGAGCTCGGGTCAATCCAGCCGCTGGCGCCGTCGACAACGTTTGTGGGCGCGGCGCTGACGCAAGAGCTGAGCCACGGCAGTGGGCCGAGAGCACTGCAGAGCTCCAAGCTCGAGGAAGTGATGCGTATGGCGCTCGAGCAGCCTGCAGCATCTCAGAGCTCGGCCGCGACCGAAGCGACCGCGGGCGAGGGCGCGTGGTACGGTGGCGGCGACGATGGTGGATTCGACGATGATGGCGATGACGACGGCGGCGACTACATGAACGGCGCAGCAGTGCATGAAGAGTACGTGAGCCAGCACCGCAGGTGGCGGCGTCGCGGATCTGCGGTGTCGCTGGACACGACGGTGGATGCCGAAGATCCATGGGAGCCGCTGGATCCTCACGCAGCGTCGAGTGGAGTGGTCAAGCCGTTCCGACGTGGCGCGACCGTGCGCAAGCCTGTGCAAGCGCCGACGGGGATGAAGGCGCTGGCTGTGCTAGCAACGCAGACACGGTTTGGTGGCGGGGCCAAGAAGCTGCCGGGCAAGCTGTTCAAGACGGTGGCGAATCCCGAGTTTGCCGATCTGTTCTTTGCTGAGCAAAAGGCGCGGCGCAAGCAATGGAAGGCGGCGCTGGGCGCGGCTGGATACTCGGGCCTCGATTTTATGGACGACCCGCTGGAGGAGGAGGCCGGGTTCGAAGAGGGCGCGCAGCTCGGACGTGAAGTCGAGTTTGATAACTACTATGCAGATGGCGACGATGGCGACGACGACGACAACACGTTTGACGCCGCCTACGAAGCGCCGGCGACCGGAGCACCCGGCACAGACGAGGTCGGGGCGCGGGGGCTCATCAACGACGAGACGTGGGCGCAGGTTGACGAGGACATTGTGCCGCAAGTGCTTCACTTTGGGGCCGGGGTGCGGAACGAGGGCGCGATGGGCGAAGGCAGTTACGAAGCGGCATGCCGCGAGCACATTGCGACATATCTGGCACAGGCGGCGCAGTACGCGAGCCAGACGGAGCTCTCGCGGCGGGTGCAGGCGTGGCAGGACAAGGTGATGCCGATCCTGCGCGACGACGCCGCACGGCCGGCGTTTGACATGCGGGCGTGCGGAACGCAGGTGCTCCAACTGTTGGAGGCGCCTGCGGCGGTGGCAGCCCGGCAGGACAACGTTGTCCCGTTCGAGGCGGTGGTGCGGACCGAGACGGTGCCGAGCGTGTGCCGGCTGTTCCTGGCCACGCTCCAGCTGGCCAACACCGGCAACGTCATCATCCATCCTGGCGGACTCGGGCTGGCTGGCTCTGCCGATGCGCCATTCGGGGTCGAGCTTGTGTCCAAGACCGACTTTGCGGCGCGCCTGGATGCGCTGGCGGCCGCTGGCGAGTGAGGCCGATTAAACTGGTTGTAACTGTGGGCGAAAGGGCCGAGCAGAAGGTGATGACTGTGGTCGCGAGCGAGTGGCACCCCACACCACACCACACCGGCACACTACTCTGGGCACGGAGGAAGCAGGGGGGGAGAAAACACACAACCGCAACAATGGCAGCTAACGTATGTTGGTCAAGGAGGAACAGGCGGTGGTGGTGGTGGTGAAGGTGGTGGAGGGGGGAAGGGGGGAAGGGGGGGAGGAAGGGGAGGGGGACGTGTGGTGGTGGTGTGGCGGAGGCGGTGTGGCGGAGGGTGTGGCGGAGGAGGTGGTGGTGGTGGTGGGGTAAGGGTAAGGGAAAGAG